CTCATTTCTGTTCCAGGAATGGGATATTGAAAGCCCAATAATAATGATCTTTTCATCGATAGAAATACCGGGCCTATAAATGTATCGATACCATCCAAATGTCGATACTATCGAAAATTATTATTATTATAATTATTTTCATTGATATTATAAACATATTCGAAAAACCTGAAATTTTGTAAATACGAATAGAAAATATTGATTTTCTAGCAAAAAAAAAAAACTAAGGTGTGTGCTTTGGACTACACGATAGAAGTGAAAACATCAATAAGGCAAGATTCAACTATTGAATAGTAAAGTATGAAAACTATTCAAATATAGTACGCACTGCATTCTATAGTTGATGAAGACAGGCAAAATAAGTATAATCTTTTTTCCCCATCGATCAGATTCATAAACAATCGATACGATAGTTTTAATTTTAATTTTAATTTTTTTTGTCTATAAAATATGTATTTGCGCCTGTCAACAATAAGTTGACAATCAGCAAATGTGATGGCGATGCATGAAATAATGACATGACAGGCATGGGGAAGGAAAGTACTCAGCAGTACCTCTTCCCTAATTTGTTCCAATTGGTTGTCAAAGGAAGGAGATCCCTCATACAACGCCTTTTTAATCTCCTACTGATGTTCTGAGGTACGTCAGCTGTGGCCATGTCTCTTATTAGTCTGTTATTGTGTTCATTAAAATTTGTGTAAAATCGTTGATATAGGATCGTTATATGTTGGTCAACTGTTGGAAAGTGGAGGTCAGTATGTAGAGTTTTGTTAGTCACGTACCAAGGTGCTTTTGTTATGAGTCGCAATAATTTTGATTGGAACGTTTGAAGTTTTTGTAGGTGGGTCTTTTTAGCGATACCGTATATTTGTGATGATTACGTAAATATGGGTTTAAGTAAGTATGTATATGTATTCAGTTTCTGTTTTAGTTTTAGTTTTGAAGATTTGGCAAAAAGAGAGTAAAGTAGTTTGAGTCGTTTGTTAAGTGTCATACGCTTCATTTTAACATGTGGGCCCCATGTCATCCTTCTGTCGAAGGTGAGTCCAAGGTAAAGTACCGTGTCCGTTTGAGGAATTTGATTGTTGTCAATATAAACTGGAGGGCAGGTGTTTTTTTCGAAGAGTAAATGTTAAATGTTTGGATTTGTCATGATTAAGTCGAATTTTCCATAGTGTGAACCAATCTTGTAGTTTAAGCAAATGATGTTGTAGAGTTAGTGAGGCCTGTGTAGGGTCTTGATGTTTTGTGAGGATTGCTGTATCGTCTGCATATGTAGCTGTCAAGATCTCATCGTCAATATGTATATCGTAAGTGTATATAACGTAAAGTAGAGGGGCTAGTATTGAACCTTGGGGAAGATTGGACGGACTGAATAATTTTTATTTAAAAATTTAAATATCATAGGGTCGATATCGATAATCGAAATATCGTAGGGTCGATATCGATAATCGATAATATCGAAATAGACGCCATTATTGGTTAAATATTAAATATCGGAAGGAAAATATCGATATATTTATAGTATGGACTATCGACGGCCATCGATATTTTCTGTTTTATTCTGTTATGGAGCAAACTCATCCTCACGTAGCGGCTGGCATTTCTGCTTCGTGTTCCCAGATCGTGGAAAATATCAAAATGTGAAACCTCCCAAAACTTTCTCTACATTTCCCGTTCGTCGAAAGGAGAGGGGACCACATCAAAGTCTCGTTACCGAGTCGTTACTAAGTTACTAAGTAGATCTTCAAACTACTTTTCTACTGAATAAATCATAACCTCTCTTTATCACTATCTATTTTCGAGTTTATTTAGTGTAGTGATGCCCAAATGCGAGACACAAGTCTTGGTCTGGCAAATTCAGTATTGATCTAGGTTTTGGTCTTATGATTTGGAAAGCTATACTCAAATATACAATTTCACAAGAAAAAACAACGCTGTATAGAATAGATGATTGAAATTAAACCTCGTTATCATTTGAATTTCGACACTAAGATAGAATTTTGAAGATTAACTCACTACATACAAAGAGCTAACAAGAATCCGAGCATGTCCGATTATTAGTTTCTGAGACATTTTAATCCATATGCAAAACCATTTCAATTAGTCGACTCCAACCGACTTCATCCGAGGGTTAAACATCGGAGATTTGACGGCTTAATCTAATTCAAATTCCACAAAAAAGTGCGAAACGCGCCTAAAGAATTTTTCAATTCAAAAAGTAAAATAGATGAATTAAAATCGTACATTAATTAAAAACAATTTAATATACAGACTTCTAAGACACTAGTGGATTTGAGGGTGGGGTACTACCTATATGAAGCCTCCACCACCCAACAAAATGGAAACAATATTGTTTTTTATTGGTATTTTTTACCCTATTTAATTATGTAAGTGAGCTAAGATAAATAATTAAATATAATATTCTATTTTTTTAATTAATTATTTTTCTGTATATTTATTTATTGTACATTGAGTGTGAATGTGATCTGTGAACTCTATTATAAATGTCCTTAGAGACAGATTGTAATATTTTTCAATAAATAAGTTAAAATTAAGTATTGGATCCGCTACTGTGGTGATGTGAAATGTAGTGTTGCCCAAATGCGAGACCGAGACGATTCTTGGTCTTGCAAACTCAGTCTTGGTCATGGTCTTGGTCTTGCACAAGAGTCTCGCAACTGCCTTGCAGCTATGTATTAGCTTATTACTGTAATTTTTTAGATATGAGAAACCTAATTAGAAGAATAAAAAGCAAAAGTATATTGGTTAGACCAATTCTTTACATATAGCAACTAAAATCGTCAAGTATTAGTAACTATTTTGCCTTAATTTTTATTCACAAAATCGATTTTTTTTTACCAGTCCTGGTCTTGGTCTTGCAACAGTTAGGCGGCCTTGGTCTTGGTATTGCAAAGTGCAAGGACCGAGACCGATCTTCGGCAAACTAGTGAATAGCGATATATCTGTTCTGCATTTATACGTTTTTACTTGTTTCATCCTTTTGATCTCTGAATTACTAAATGATTTGTTATTTCCTAAAATTTAACGTTTTTGTTGGAATTTCTCAATTACATATGAAAGCACTGTTATTTAAGTAATATTGTATAGATTACAACTAAGCCTTTAATTTCACGTGGTATAAAAGAAAGCGATTTGTGATATGTTATCATGCAGAAATTATATTTGAAATGACTAATAAACTCGTGCGAGAACTTTCACAATAAATATTTTTCCTTATCCCTAGTTAATACCAAGCTCGAACGGGATTAGCGTAAAATGTTTTTTCGTAAAAACAATGTATATTCTGGAAAATAATGCATGATTTCATGTTTTCTTTGCAATATACCTGTTATTTAATAAACTGTCTATTCAAAGCTGTAGGTTAGGACTTTATTTTAATAGTAATATATATATATATATTTTTTTTATTGTTTATTGAAATTATTACAATCTGTCTCAAACTTCGAGTTGATTTAGTGTAGTGTTGCCCAAATGGGAGACCGAGACGAGTCTTGCAAACTGAGTCTTGGTCTTGCACAAGAATCTCGCAACAGACTTGAAGTTACCTATTAGCTTATTACTACAGAGATATCAATGTATTTTTTTAGATAAGAGAAACCTAATTAGAAGAGTAAAATGTAAAAGTATATTGGTTTCACCAATTCTTTACATATATTAACTAAAATTGTCAAGTATTAGTAACTATTTTGCCTTAATTTTATTTTACCAGTCTTGGTCTTGCAACAGTTAGGAGATCTTGGTCTTGGTCTTGCAAAGTGCGAGACCAAGACCGATTTTGGGCAACACTAATTCAGTGGTGTTTGACAACATTTATTATATAATTTAACCTTTCTGTATTATTTTTGTCAGTATGCCATATGTTTTTATTTTCTCTTTACAACGCACTTGAGCGAAGGTACCACACGGCAATGTTCTGGGACCGTTACTTTCAATATTTTTACGACTTACTACAGTGCGCCCTACCACAGTACGACCAAACTTTACTGCCAACATTTGTCGCTCACACTACATTCCTTACATATCACAAAAACATATCTATTATACTTACATCTATTAATGTAAAGATGTTGATGATATTTTTAATTGGGCTACCAGGAGGAGCAAATTTCAGTAAGCTGTATCTTTGCATACAAATTGTCCGATTTCAATGGTTTCTTTTTCCTTTTGTAGACAATTTAGTAATGTTTTATATAATCATGGGAATAACCCAGGGAAAAGTGTGTAGTTTTTTAGTTATTCGCAAATAAAGTTTCTTTTCTTTCACAACTTATTTGCCTGTATTTTCGGAGTGATTGGACTATTTTGCTCGTCTGAAGGGGAAGGAAGCCTTCGAAATTGGTGGCTCAATCTTGAGATTTGGTGAGAAATTAACGATGATATGGCTTGCCGATCAAAAACACCATCGATGAATAATATAAACTCCTCTCTCGATCATAGAGGCCTCAAGTCGACGAATTGAGACATGTATTTAATGACAGTACTACAATTAACGTAAGATTGTGTGGATGCGAACCCTATGCCTTGCGTTATCTCGAAAATAATACGTTTTTGGGCTTAAAAACGCAGCCTCCGATAGTTCTGAAGGAATCTTAAATCAATCTTCCAGGTCCAATTTGTCCCGTACCGAACTACAGACTTACTACTGTTCCAGTATTGAAACCTAGCAAAATGTTTGAATCGACTTTATTTATATTAGAAAGAAAAACAAAAGTGGAGAATACGATTCGCTAATCCCCCGTGAAATTCTGATTTAATGGTATTTCTATAGAGAAATGGTATGGTATAATGGTATTTAAGCATGACAGGAGCTTATATCTGGTACAAAACCGATTTCGAGTTTTACCGTAATAATATATGTGGGGATTGCTTAGTACATGCTGCAAGATTTGCCAACAAATATCGACCCTTTTACAATTTATATGTCAAAAACATCGATATTTCTATTCAAACGATATATAACTATCGATCCTTTCCAGGTGAACATACCATGCAGCGATGGAGCGGCCTGGGCAGGAGGCTGAGCCAGCTCGCAGCTTGTCCTTCCGAAGTGGTAAGGCCCTACCAGGAAGTGCCTGGTCCTAGGCCTCTGCCCATCATCGGCAACACCTGGAGGTTCCTTCCTGTAGTTGGTGAGTTGATTATATATATATTCTCCAAAATACAAGATCTCGTCCTTCTGACCTTTACACCCCTTTCCACAGATATGCTTCATTTCAACACTCCTTTATCATCCGTTCCATTTCTTCTTGGAATTTCCATCCTGGTTAAAATCCTGCATGCAACATCCTTATCCACATTCACCTTCACACAAACCTTCTTATTATAATATTTCTTCACAATCCAATCTGGTTAATTATTCATTATGCAACATGGTTTTATTTGTTGTTTTTTTCTTGTCATACACCATTATTTTATTTTATTTTTTATGAATTAGAAAAGACTCCGTATCTCTTTTGACATAGCACTATGATGAAAAAAAAAAATAAGAAATTATTTATTTGTGTCGATTATTTGTTCTATTAACAAGATTTTATATGTAAAGTGCAGTATCTAGTCCTGTCATGAATATTGTTACAAGAAAATATATACAGATTTCAACAGAAAAATAACGGCCAAAGAGCACTTTGCATCTATCCACTCTAATTTTTTTTTAGAGAAGTGGTTAGTCTTTGTCATTCTTCGAAATGCACCCATCATAAGGTCACTTTTTATTATGCGACACATTGATCTGACAGAGATTCCCATTTCCCGAGACACGATTTGTTGTTTTCGAATGGGATGTCTTCTGATTCGAGCAGCCACTGCTCTCACTGCATTTGCCGTTCTCATTGTCCGGGGACGGCCCGGTCTAGGTCTGTCACATTCAGATAGGGTCTCATTATATCTATTTATAGTGCGGTACATACGGCTGATACCCAAAGGCTTCAAAGTGTTGAAAATCTCTAACCTACATTTTCCAACTTTGTTTAAGGCGATCGCAGATATTAGGTTTTCTTTATCACCCCACTTCATGTTAACTGAGCGAAAGAAAAATACAAACTAATTGGGATTATTATCCTGACATGTAAAGAAAATAACCTGATAGAGGTTAGGATTATCTAAACAATACACAAGGATATAAACAGAGTTCAACTTTTGTTACAGTATTTCTTGCAGAACTAGGTATTTCAGATGTAGTTCATTTTGTACATTCCTCAATTTGTACGTATAATGTACAATTCCATTGCGAGTATTCATTCAAAGCTTTTTAGTAACATATATAAGTAATTTATTTTCTTTTACTGATTTTTTTTCTTTTTGTGGCTACAATGGTTTTTTCATAAAATTAATTTAATGTTCCTTTCCAATTTTATTTATCTGCTTATAGATTATTATTTTATTATAATTCATTATTATTTAAATTATTGTATAGTTAGAATCTTTATGAAGTTAGTTTTTGGCCAGATATGTATCTTTATTTTGTATTTGTTTATTATTGTTGTTCTAAGGGGAATATTGTCTCGGTATAATGTTTATTTCCTATTTCTACTTTATGTTTCTTTATCAAAATCCGAACGGTAACCAGAAGTTTAGCGTGTAATCTACAGAATGAAACCACCCTGTTCCGCAGAATTATCTTCAATGAAAAGTTGTAGTTCAAGATAAGATGAAGCCATTTACCAAGTTTTAATATCAATAACTTAATAAAAACGGGTCTTTACAGCGGACTAATACGTTTTACGTAACATTAACGACTCCTATTTCCTAGTTACGATTTGGATCAGGAACTACGCTAAAAGTGGTCTTTCCAAACACACGAAGTTGACCTGAAACCTGCGCCTGCGCCTTATGCAACATTGAAAGTTATCTTCATATTAAGTAATAAGGAAAGTTATAGTACCTACAATTTTACAAATTTTAATTTAAGAGAAGAATGGTTAGGGTGGTCAGTAAAAAAGAAATAATTATATTTGTTTTATATTTGCCGAAGTTTCGGCCCAAATTTCAGGCCTTCATCAGAGCTGAGAAAAGAACATATAACAATAAGTGTAAGAAGCTATAAACAAATTATTTAAACAGAATTAAAATTAAAAAGGTGAAATATATGAATTAAAAAATGTAGTTACATTAAACTTAAAGTAAAATAAAGTAGATAAAGTGAACATTAAAATAAATTAAAGTAGGTAAAATAATAACAGTGACAAAGAACTAAGAAATAACTGATAACGGCAACAAAGTAGGGACTAATGAAAAATTAATTAACAACGAAAAGGAGTGGAATTAATAAGATAATAAACGTAAGTGCAGACAAAAAATATAAAAAATAAAAAGATGGGTGACATAATTCTAAATATGAATATGATAGTTCTAAATCTAAAATATGATGTAATAGTATGCTAAAATGATGTGTGATAATCATAGAATAAAATTATAAAACAGAGAAAAGGAATATGAAGTTATATAAGGAAACAATAGATAGAAAATTGAGATATTGTAAAATCTATCAAAACATACTGACGACGTATAAGAGACTAAAAAGTTAAAATAATGTAAAAAAAAAATGTAAAAAATGATAAAAGGTAAACGATAAATAAAAAAATTTTTTTTATATTATTTTAACTTCATATTCCTTTTTTCTGTTTTACATTTTATTATATGATTATCACATATCATTTTAGCATACTATTACATCATATTTTAGCAACTATGTCACTCCATTTATTTTTCATTTTTTATTTTTTGTATACACTTACGTTTATATGAATGAATGGATTTATTCATTCCACTCCTTTTCATTGCTAATTAAATGTTACCTTATTTTGATTATTTTATTTCATTAGTCCCTATACTTTGTAGCCTTTATCGATTATTTCTTAGTTCTTTGTTACTGTTACTATTCTACATACTTTATTTTACTTCAATGTTCACCCTATCTACTTTATTTTACTTTATGTTTATTCGAACTACATTTTTTAGTCTATACCTTTCACCTTTTTAATTGTTATTCATTATTATTCAATGTTTAAAGTTTATCATACCTATTGTTAAACGATTTTTTTTTCTTAACCATGATGAAGACCTGAACTTTGGGCTGAAACGTCGGCAAATATAAAAATAAATATATATATTTTTCTCAGCCATTGTTCTCTTCAATTATTCACTGCAGTCAACCATCAATCCACAATTATAATAATTTGAATTGCTAGGCTTAGTGCAATTTTTTACCGGAATGGGACTAGCTCAAAAACGAAAAGTCCTACGAAACTGATATCACGTATTTAAGATAGGTATATGCCTTAGTTGTGACGGCAACTTGTTCCTTAAAATCGGCTAACCGGAAGTGCCACTTTATATCAACGCTGAAACACATTTTCAGAGTTTTCTCAAAAACAGCTCTAACGATTTTGATTAAACTCGGTGTATCATTGTATAATTAAGTGGTCTTTAATATAAATTAGGTCTTATCCCCATTGATGTCACTTTACAGGGCTTAAATGCCCAATGTTCATATACGTCTTCCTCTAAAGTACCTTTAATATGGTTTATTTTAAAAAGATAATTATTTCGCATCATTCAGAGTTACGAAAAAATGCTAAATATAACTTTTGAAAGAATTTGATAAGTTAATAAAGGAGAAAAAAAAATAAAAATGCAGAAAAACGTAGCCATATACTGTAGCGCCTAGACGAATGTACCGATTTCATTGAAACTTCGCTAAAGTCATTTTCTCGACACCCTTCAAATTTATCTGTGTAACATTCATCAGCGAAAAGAAGCTGAAAAAAAGTGACGAGGGGTGGTAAAATTAAATTCCGAATAACTCAAAAAGTATACACTTTTTTGGCAATGTTGTGATAAGATGTTTAAAAGGTATTTAAATTGCCTAAAAAACAAAAGAAATTTCATCGAAATCGAAGCACTATAAGTAGAGATATCGCGATTTTTAAATATTTTTTTTATTTTATTTTGTACACTAAGAAATCAAAGATATTTTCACTTAGCTGAAAAAGTTCTAGAAACGTTCCAATGGTATAAAGGCTTTATCCCCTCCCCTCTGTGTTTAATCAGAACAAAAACGTTATATTTTCCATTGCGGTTTGTAATTGTAATTTCAATTGCAAAATACTTTCTCTCTTTACAAGTACCAAACTCATTTGTTCTTGCATTTCAATATACTTTCAAATTAATTTTATTTATTTTTGCCGCATAATGTTAATCAATTTGCCTCGAATCTGATTGGAAAATAGCTGTACAATCTATATTTTCTGTACTGTAAAAGCCTCTAAAATCTTCCTTCTGGTTGCATTATACTCTTTTTGTAGAATTTGAACTTTCTCAAAATCAAAATTATGCATCTTACTAAAACCATATTGCATCGATACTGTATTTTTCTGGTATTGCTTCCTCACTACCGAAGTTAGAGAAGCGAAGTATAGGTTAAAAAATAAATAGAGGTAAAAAAAAATGATGTGCTCAGAATCGAAAATATCCACTCGCGTTTTACGTTTCAGACAAGGACAAGGATCAAATTTGGTTTGGTGTCTATCTGTATGCCTGTCGGACTGTCTATAGTCAAATCGATGTGACGATGTGACATTATTGAGCCATGGATTGGACCTTTTGCCTCCAACTCCCTATTCACCAAACCTAGCTCCAAGTGACTACCACTTATTCCGGTATCTGCAGAACTCCATGAATGGAAAAATGTTCCAAAAGAAAGAGGACATCAAAAACCACTTGGATTAGTTTTTTAACAATAAACTCCAGAAATACTATGAACATGGCTTTATGCAGTTAAGAGATGTATAGGAAAAAGTCATATTAAATAAAGGTGAATATATTGTAGATTAAAATAAATTGTATATCTTTTTTCACTCTGAAAAACCGAAAGGACTTACTTGCCAACCCAGTACATTCTGTCATTGATGTACTGCTTGGTTTCCTCTATGTATATTCCTTGACAATTTAAACACTGTTTTGAAAATAGCCTAAAGGCTGAAACGTCGGTGTAAAAAATAAAAATAAAATAGGACCGTTGTGATCAAAATGCGTGTTTTTATTATTATAATAAAGTGAAGCAATAACCTACAAGTATAAATATGTATTTAATTGAAACATATTTTTTATAGTAAATTAAAAAAAAAAAATGTAGTCACTCCATCTGCTTTTATAAACCACACAACTTTCATTGCTTTTATGAACCACAGAATGACTAACTCCAATTTCAACATTTTTGAGTAATGTCAATTTAGTTATATTTTTAGTTGAAAAAGTTATCTATGCAGACAGTGAGTAAATTGATTCCGGAGGTGGTGATTGCAGTGTTGAAATATAGAACTGAGAATACAAGTATAAATTTAAGTACTTATTTTTTATGAAAGATGTTCTTAGAAAAGGTACATTATTAAATATCTGTAGAAAAAAGGGTTTTTTAGTCTCAACAATTAAAAAAGTATATTTTAAATTTATCAAAATTTTCGCCTCTTCAGGTAAATAACTAGAGACCATATCTTTCCTCCTAAGTAACCAATTTTAACGATTTTTTTTTATTTTTTAGTAAATTCCATAAATTAAAAAAAAAACAGATTTTTCTGCATTTTCATTTTTTTCTCCTTTATTAACTTATCAAATTCTTTCAAAAGTTATATGTAGCATTTTTTCGTAACTCTGAATAATGCGAAATGGTTAACTTTTTAAAATAAACCGTATTAAAGGTACTTTAGAGGAAGACATCTATGAACATTGGAAATTTAAGCCCTGTAAAGGGACATCGATGGGGATAAGACCTAAATGATATTAAAGATCACTTAATTAAACAATGATACACCGAGTTTAATCAAAATCCACGCTTGATTCTCCCTGCAACACTTAAGGAGACAGCCCTGATGAAGGCCTGAACTTCAGGTCGAAACGTCGGCATATGTAAAAAATAAATATTATCATTTATTTTTTGCCTTCCTTTTTGACTGACCACCCCAACTATTCTTCTCTTCATTATCCACGACAGTCAACCAATTACCAATTATGAATTTAATCAAAATCGTTGACTCCGGTCAAGTTTGAACCTGACAAGTGAAATCCACCACTCTCCAGATCTTCCTGGACATACAGAATGGTCCATCCAGAACACCCTACGTTCAGATCCAGGCCGTTCGCTTTCCCCGCCTTTCACGGTTTCCCAATGTCCAGTCCCATCGGGAGACATCACGAACAGCCGTGACATCCGCACTTGACCGAATATTTTCCGATTCTCTAGGCTTGTCAGAAGTGGCACGACGCATGGAGAGAGTGAGGAGTGGCGTGGGTTGAGGAGATGGTTACAATTTCTATAGAATAGAAGAAAAAAAAATGAAAGTTAATTCGTATTTGTAAATAAATTCATCGATACATTATTCATTGATGATTTGCAATCGATAATACTTTTATAATGATTCAAAAATAAACACTGATTATTTGGCTGCCGAGTGCGAACTAACATTTTTCCCTAATGCTCCGATATTATTTGCAAAATATTTACTAATACATTATGTAAATTTTGAGCTGATATGTTTAACGATTTTTTTAGACGATTTTAGAAATAAATATGTTCCTTTCATACATATTATAAATAAATATTAGGTATTTCATACGCCCATATTTCGACCATTTACAAAACAAAGGTGTGAGCTTTAGACGACACGATAGAAGTGAAAACATCAACAAACCGAAATTAATAGAATTAATTTTAATTTTAATAAACCCCCATACCAGACTGAAACTACTAGAAACCACTCGACTTTTTCGACTACAGCAGTAGTTACTAAACAAACGCTCTAAACTTCCAACTATTTATAAAAGACTCATATATATTACTATAATAAGACCTATTTGTAGTTATGGGATCGAGCATTGAGGTTCTACTAAACCATCAAATTCCTCTGGTATCCAATCCCTACAATACAAAATCCTTCGTAAAATCCTCAATGCTCCCTACTTTGTCACAAATAAAATCATCAATAACGTCCTTAATGTACCATATGTTTCCGATTTAGCTCAATCTAGATAACTATCCTTTCATAATAAACTTCTGAACCATCCGAACCCTCTTGTTTCTAACCTTGCTTCCTCTTCTATTCCTGATTATCCTCCGAGGCGTCTGAAAAGAAGATGGCCACGGGACCTTCTAATATAGAAATATATTTGGAGTGCTACAAATGGGTAGTTTCTCTTCATGTTGTACATGTCATGTTACTTGTTTCAAATTTACTTGTTGTATTTATCATTTAATACAGCTGTAAATTTCAAAAAATAAAAAAGCTATTAAATGAAATATAAATAATAGCTCATATGCTGAACATTTCCCTCGCTTACAGTATGCAGGTCAAATTTTTAGTTTCTGATATATTTTAATCTATATCTTCAATAAAACTTTTTATCATTTGGTTTTCGACATATTTCCTTTTTTGCCACTCTAATACACCGTCGCATTAAGATGCAGTTTTGAATAATAGCTGATTAAAAAGAAGATGAAATGGTGAACATTTACCTCGCTAACATGAAGCAGATTTTTAGTTTTTGAGATATTCTAATCCATATGCAAAAAAACTTCAAGTAGTATACTCAAGTCGAATTTACCCGAGCGTTATACCTCGGAAATCTGACGGCTCAATCTAATTCAGGCTCCATAATAATTTGCCAAACGCTCCTAAAGAATTTTTCACTTAATAAAGAAATTTTTGCCCGTCGCATGACTGTTAAGTTATATTCCCTCAGATAGGAGACAAAATGGAGACTCCTGGTTAAATATTAATATTAAATACATAGTTAAATTAAAACTACCGAAACCGCAATAAAATGCACTGAATAAATGTACAAATATGTACAAAGTAGATCGTAATTAAGCTTGTACCAGATCACTAAGTTTAAAAAAAAATATTTTTAAACCCTGTTAGTATTCTGCTCTATTCACAATTTTAGTTCTTTATTATTTTATTTTTTCCTGTTGGCATTACATACCTTATAGATTCTTTTTTCCCCTTTCTGTCTATCTTGAACTATTTCTTCTTGTTACCTACACGTAGCTATATTGTTGATTCTATCTATCCATCTGGCTTTTGGTCTTTCACGTGGTCTTTTGCCTTCTATTGAGACATTCAGTGTTACGTAGAAGCTTCCTGATGAATTGCTCCGAGCCACATGTCTAGCCTATCTTAACCTCCGAGCCTTCATATCATGGAATATTGATTGAACAGTTTCTACAAGCAGTTCTTTATTGATCTTTCTTCTCAATGTGTTAGTACTCTGGTTCCAGATCGGTACGGTTATCCTGCGAAGGATTTTCCTCTCAAATCTTTCAATACTTTTTTCTAGGGTGCTGGTTAGCGTACAAGTCTCATAGCCATATATTAGAACATCAACATTAAAAATTTTAATTACACCAATAAGCAATAAGGAAAATAATATTCAAACGCTTTTGCTGTTGATTTTAACGAGTGGATGTTGTATTTAATAGATAATAAATAATTAAATATTGTTTTTTCTTTAACTAATGACTTTTCCTTGCCCAGGTGACATCGAGGTCTCGGACGTGGCCGCTGTCTCCCAGAAGCTGTACGACGTCTACGGGAAGATCGTGCGGCTCTCCGGGCTGACTGGGAGACCCGACCTGGTCTTCGTGTTCGACCCCGACGAGGCCGAGAAAGTCTACCGCGCGGAAGGAGACACCCCGTACCGGCCTTCGATGCCATGCATTGTCAAGTACAAGACTGAAGTCAGGAAGGAGTTCTTCGGCGAGCTACCTGGAGTTATTGGTGTGTGAGTAGCCTTTGTACCTTGTGCTAAGACTACTAGAAGTAAATTATGAACGGAACGTTTTTAAAGTAACCCGTACATTTTTTGGCTATTAATCTAGTCTAGTATTACAATTTGTAGAAAAAAAATAATTTTTATAATATTCGTTACTATTATATTGTTCTATCTCTCTACAGATCTAAATATCGATCTCTATATACACACAGTAATAATAACGTATATTATTAAAATTATTTTTTCCTACAAGTTCTCGAAATCGACGTATTGAGTTATAAATCGATCTTTTGAACTGTTGAAGATAAACTAGCAGAGGTACAAACAAAGGAATTGTATGGCGCAAGTTGCGCCATCAGATTTTTTTTTTTTTTTTTGGAAGGGTTACAAGTTACAAGTTTGGAAGTGTTCAATTTTAAGAGAACATTGAAACAAAATAATCATTGTCTAGCTAAAAAATAAATACAGAAATAAAAAAGTAAATTCAAAAAATAAATTTTTCTAGTAGATGAGCAACAACAAGTAAAAATAACTATAATATTAAGAAATAAAGATTTATATATTCTATCTTAGTAAAAATTAACTTTTATAACAACAATAGGAAGAAAATAAATAAATTAAGCAAATATAAGAGCATAGTAATCGTGTAGATAAGTGCACGTACGTATGTACCAAGTACGTATATATCAAGTAATTCTGTCCCTCCGTCCCTCATACATTTCCGAGCTCCTCCAATTCAAATCCTCTGTCCACTCCCGCAATACTCGTTCTCTTCAGATTTATATATAAGGGCCCACCGAACCGCTGCTTTCGACTGAACGTTCATTATTCGATCCTCATCCTTATGGAACTCCATCCCTTCTCACATTCGTCAATCTTGTACCCTTCCTACCATAAATCCCGCCTGTTCAATAATTTCTTATCCATCCAGTCCCCATAAAATTGTAAATAGTTACTACTGTAAATATGTATACAAATTATTAGATCGTTCTTTATTATTTTTCTTCATGTTTATTTTCAATTTTTTATTATTAACTGATTTAAAATAGAAAGTAACTTATAATTTCTCTTATTATTTTTTTGAATATTTAATCAAACTATATTCTTGTTCATGTATCACTGAGGCTCCTTAGCCCACATTTTTGTCTCTCTGTATTATTCTAAAGATACTCGCCCAAGAATAAATAAAGCATTATTATTATTATTATAAACACAATTTCGTGATAAGAAAAGAAAAAACAAAACAAAGTACATATGTAAATATATAAAACATATATATATAAGAAGCGGGCAATGAAGAAGTTTTGGAAAGAGGTAGATCTGTTAAATATGGTATAAAGGTGAGAAGGTCGAGATCTTGTGATAAGAGAGAGGATGGAAGACTTGAATTGGAGAGCTAGTTAATTGTCAAAAACAAAGAAAATTGTCTTTGTTAAGAGATTTCACTCTATTTGATTGTTTTCGAAATATTGATTCGAACTGAGATAAAAACAGTTCTGTTCCAGGCATGGAGAGCCTTGGAGAACTTTCCGAACGAGAGTACAGAAGCCGATTCTGCAACCGAGGGTGGTCAAGCAGTACATAGCACCTATCCAAACTGTAACTGAATTGTTCATTGAAAGGTATAATGTCATATTATAGGTAAATATTTGTTTATTTTATAAAAAGTTATTAATTAATTTTATTTATTTATTTTTTTTTTTATAGAATGCTTGAGATGAAAGATGAAAATGATGAAATGCCAGATGATTTTGACAATGAAGTTCACAAGTGGTCTTTGGAATGTAAGAAATAGTTTTAACAACTTAACTTAGGCCCTCTTCATCTCCCATCAAGTTAATCTCTCTCCCCCCCAATCTCTTTCATGGAAATTTCAGTCTTTTGTATCACTTATGTAGCTTCATCGATGCCGATCTTCTCCTAATCCATCACTCCTAATGCCATATCTATCTAGGTGATTTCCAAATATACTTGTCCTTCTGGCCTATTAGCAGCCACAAAAAAAACTTCAAGTGGACTTAAACTGAATTTGTGACAGGGCGAGAGCTAACAAGTTGAAGTTAAATGAGGAAAAGACCAAGGCAATCCTAATAGGCTCCAATCACCTCCTTAAAACTGTTCCTAATATTCCAACTCGGTTCCTACATGATAGTCTCATCAAATTTTATCCCAGCATCAAAAATCTTGGAATAACCTTTGACTAAATCCTTTCCTGAAAAAAATCAGATATATTTGCCTCTTTAAAACGTCTAAATTATCTCCGCCACCTATTACATTTGAAACCCGTAAACTCCTAATCACTTTTTTTTAATATTTTCACGCTTCGACTGTACGGTATACGGGGGCATCTCTGAGAATCTCGAGGTGAAACTAAAACGTTTGATAAATTGCTCTGTACGACTCATTTTCGGATTCGCAAGGGACGCTTTTGTCTTCTGTTTTTATGAACAGCTTTATCCTTCCTATCGTCGTATTTCCTAGTATCCTTCCTCTTCCAAGTCATCCAATCCCACCGCCCTTCTTACATCTCCGAGCTCCTTCAATTCAAATCCTCTGTTCATTCCCGGTCTTATGATTTATCTACAAGGGTCCACCGAACCGCTGCTTTAAGCTCAAACTTGTAAATAACCTATTAAAGTTTAATTGCAAATAATTTGTTTTGGCGGGAATTGCCAATAGCCTTCCGCTTTTATATCGGGAAACTAGGTTATTTACACTCGTGATTATTAAAACAAAACCCCGGCACTGGATTTAGACCTTTTGAGGATGTTTAACTGTCGTTGGGAATTCGGGAATTAGTAAATACATTTTGAATGAATTGACTCACCTGGTTTGTTACTCTTCAATCGTGAGGCATATAGGACAACTAAATAAATAAATGACATTTCACTCCTGTATAACAAAATAATTTATTTCTACAACTATAATAAATTGACTCTATTAAAGTGTTATAACTATAGGCTTGATCTTCTAAATCTTGTAGTAGATTCCTAACGTCGTTCCGCTTCCATGTCTCAGCCTCAAATGCCTTCTCTCCTCTTCTCCGGCGTCCTCCTCCGGCTGTTGCTACCTGCTCCATCCTTTTTCCAGCGTCCTTCTTCATCGATTGTTTATCGATATAAGACGTTTCAATGAATAATTTGTCCACTGCATAATTGAGTACAATTCATCGTGCAACCTCACCTTCCTATATATTTCCTCTCATTTCCTCACACAATATCACATAAAGGAGTAAATACTGGGGGCTATCTACTACAAACTTGCCGGACGCACAGTGGAGACGGGTGACAAAAATTCAAAAACCCGTTCACAAAAATAAATAAATATACTGTTATATAGTGATTAAAATTTAATTAACTCTTTATTTTATTTTTGTGAACCCAGCCATCTCCACTGGCAAGTTTTTTGCGGAAAAACCCTAAAAATATATTTTTTTTACATTAAAAACTCTAACACTTTGTAATAATGTTAATAAAATTACTTTATCAAAAGACTTCTCAAACATACTCTTTAGTATTTTCTCAATTCCATATATTTTTCCAGGTATTGGTAGGATTGCATTAGATGTGAGACTAGGTTGCCTCGATAGGAACTTACCAAACAATTCAGAACCACAAAAGATTATCGACGCTGCGAAATTCGCGTTGCGTAAGATTGCTATATTAGAATTAAAAGCGCCCTATTGGAGGTACTTCCCGACGACTACTTGGAGGAAGTACATTGAAAATATGGATTATTTTAGATCGTGAGTATCAAAAAATTAAATTGACTTTATTCTTCTATCAATAATATTATTTAAAATAAAAATTTTACAAGAATAATAAAGTATAAGAATTATGTTTATGTTGTGTTGAACCCGTCCACTGTACTTTATGTATTTGTATACATTTACGAACTAGGTTAGGAAGAGAGAGGAGAGAATATGAGCAGGAGTAAGAAAATGTATAAGGGGAGAGAAGGAAGAAAAAGGGGTGTAGAATGCTAATAAATTAATGAAAGAAATTGTCAAAAAATATATTAAAAAAGGGGGGAAAATAAAATATAAAAAATAATAATATAAGAGCATAGTATACAATATATATATATATAATATATATATATATATATATATATATATATATATATATATATATATATATATATATATATATATATATATATAGTCCACCAAGGAAAGGCACGCTACCCGTTACCGCTACCGCTAAATTCCTCCCTCCTCCCCCATGTGAGACCCATCAGTCTACTGGAGGTAACTCACACCGACTGGGGCGTAGGATTTATGACCCTACCCCGTACTTTAAATCTGAAATCGGAATGTGGTCTAGGAGACCACACTCACGGTCAAAGATCTTCATGGTCTGTAGCGCCAACCGAAAAAAAAAATATATATACATCTATATATATATATATATATATAAAATTATATTATACTATGCTCATATATATTGTTAATACCATATAATTGTATATTAGTTTTAAAAAATTGTCTGTAGTGATTAATAAGTATGCTTTGTTTGATGCAACCCAATGTAAGTGGGCAGCCCCTTTTATGAAAATAAAGTGATTCTCTCTCTATCCATAAGAACTTAATAACAGATATTATCAGGAGTGCTATAACCATTGATTTTTCAGGGTCTGCATGAAATATATCCAAATGGCATTAGAGAATCTAAAGAAGAAAGACAATAAGCAAGAATTGTCACTTCTAGAAAGGATATTAGAAACAGAAAAAGATCCGAAAATCGCTTGCATATTGGCCCTCGATCTGATACTAGTTGGTATTGATACGGTAAGATCAAAAATATTTTAAATTAAAGAATTTTAAAAAAAAAAATGTTTACTTATAATAAATAAATTGTCCAATTTTCATTTAAAATGTTTATTCTACGCTACAGAACTCTTTTTATCAAATTATGAACACTTGTCTAAAATTAGTGAATGGCATATTAAAATAATGAGGTTATTTAGGTCCAATGGCCCATTACTATTGTAGGATACCTTTTTTCTCGAGATTTTTAGCATCTAAATAAAATTGACATGTTTATCGATACTCAGATTGAAAACGCCTCATTTCGGAAAATATTCGTAAATAAAAAAGTTTAGGATATAAAGAAGTCATACATGAAATTTTAGATAGTTTGATAAAAAATGGTTCTGTGCCGCCGATTAATTCTTAAATTTTAAAAACTATATTTCTATTATTTTTATTTCTTATTTAATTAAATTTATAAAACCTATTGAATGAGTTCATGCTGTCATAAAAAAGACTGTACTACTACAACCCATGTAATGTCTTGGGCTCAGTATTATTTAGGGAATGCACTGTTTCTTGGTCTATGGTTGTGCAAGGTGGTGATATGACCGAGATTACGCTCAACCGCCAGGTTTTCCCCCTTAATTAATTATTTTAATTAAAGGTACCCACTTTATAGAGTCTGGGTGTGCCGCAGGAGGGTCTACCTAAACAGGGTCCCCCCATGGCCAATGAAATAAAATAAATAATTTTTCTACCATGAGCCGGGATTCGAACCTAGGCCCTTTGCATTGGAAGCTCAAGAGCTACCCCACTCCCTTTCATGTTATTATACTATTTTAAATGTTTTAAATCATCTAAAGGGATAAGGGTGATTCTGAAGGAAAGGTAACCTTTTTTACTAAAAAAAGAAAATAGTTCACCTTTTATTTTAATAAGAAAATTTGGATGAGGTTCGCAGAAGAACATAAAAGGTTATTTATTTTCATTGTGCTGACATTGCGGCCTAAGTTTTGGCTATCATCAGAACCAAGCAAAAGTACAGACTTCGGGAGAGAGGAGACGTGTTGGCGAGGGGAGCGATCGCACTCTCCCGCTATAAAAATAGAGAGAGGGCGAGAATATAGTTTCCTACCACCAATATTTTGAAGAACGAACATTGAATTTATAATAATTATTCTGCATGAATGAATAAAATATGCAAACTAAAATCAATTAAGAAAGTAGGAATGTCGATTAAATCGCTAAGCTAAGGGCTAGAATTTTAATATAAAATTCCGAATTTTTTGGGGGGTGGAGGGAAAGGTGGGTGCATCGCCACCTACCCCTTAACCAAAATGAACAGTTTACACCTATGGAACCAAGCAAAGGGAAAATAACATTGTAGTAAGAAGAGAGAAAAAGAAAACTCATGAAATATCATATGAACAAATGATATGAAAAACATTATGTTACCTACTAAAAAATTAATATAAAGAGGTGAAGAAGTATGAATGAACAAGAATAAAAGTGTAATAATACATAAAAATATATGATAAATTAGATTATAATATGGAAGTAGTGAAAAAATAATCAGATAGGTATATGTAAAAATAATATTATAATAATAATTAGATCACTATATATAATTAATTAAACATAAAAATGAATTAATAATTAATAGAAAATATGTTATACAAAATCTTAGAGTTTATTTCCTGATTAATAGAGATTTTTGCATGTTTCATGACAAATGAAAAAATAATTAAACTTCATGAGAAAGTAAGATAATAGTTATCCAATTACTAAGAATACTACTTAAAATATTTGATACTTGGTTTCAAAATGTTTTGCACATTTAGATGAATTAAATTTAATGATAGAGTATCATTTATAGGGGAAGGATAAAGATGTTTAACAAAATAAGAAATACACTGACAGTAAGATATAATGCGGCACAAAACTGATTAACGGAATAAACATTTTCTGGTTTCATTTTGTTCAAGAACTTGACCAGATCAATATCATTTAATAAAAACTCTTACCTTACTTCACTTCAGTTGTATAGTGTTCAGAAAATCCAAGAAATAGTCAGATAATCTATAAATTCTTGAATTATAATTTTGATGAACATGAATTTGTAACTGCACGATTATAGAGACACTAGCGGTGGCCGTGTGTACTACGTCAGGAGAACAGCAGCCTCTGGTGACAAAACAACGAAGCTTGTTACACTTCAAGGACATATTTCTTTTTTATATTATTTTATATTTTTATACTAATGTTACAGTTTTCTTATGAAACTGTTAATATGGAATAATTTTAAATATAAATTTAAAAATCAGTGATGTTATGGATAGGATTGAATTAAATATAGTATTTAGTGTTAAATATAGTGTGTGGATTTAATTTTGGAGGGAGGGGGAGGGAGGACTTAGTACCAGTAATTACTCTCGAAGAAAAGAAAAAAAAATATTCTGGAAGAAAAGAGAAAAAAATATATAAAATCGTGTTTAAATGGTTCTTTAAACATAAAAGAACCAGAATTACAGAAAATTAATACTTTTAAAGATAAACTTTTAATAGTTTTTCATGACATGTGCTCAAATTTAGTATATTTTGTGATTGCTTAAGTATTTAGCTTAGATCATACACAAAACAAATATGGACCAATGAAAAAAAAATGATGTTTCAGCCAGAATATATTGAGTTTTAGAAAATCCTCCCTAGATCTGCCAGTGTTTATTGGTGACAATATTTACTGAATTTAAGTAGCTGTCCATCTCCTATATTTGTGAGTTCTACATATTTTGAGGGCTGTTACCTCTTAGCTTACCTTCACTAAGTCTGGTAGCTGGTTATCACTTGTATCTGCCTTTTATCTTCAACTAGATTGATTCTCAATCACTGGTAGCTTATAACGGACTTTTAGGCTGAAGCTCCCGAAATGGAAAAATCATTTTTTTTTTTCTTTATTCCATATTTACTATTGTGTATGATTTATGCTAAATACTTATACAATCACAATATATTCTCTTTTTTAAATAATAAAGCATATACAACTACTAAATTGAAGTACATGTAATGAAAAACTATAATTATTTTATCTTTAAAAACATCAATGTTCCTGTAATCCTGGTTCTTTGTTTTTTTTACTTTTGCCTTTGAAGATCACTTAATAATAATTTCATATGGGTATATTTTTTTTTTTCTTCCAGAGTAGAGTAAGCGCACCTGCGATGAATATAGCTAAGGAATGTTTTGTAATTTTTTTATTATACCGCCATAATTATTATAGTTATAAACTTCTCCATTGGACATTTAGAATTTCTAGGGTCTCCTTTTTCTATTTAACACTTTAAAATTGAAAAAAATATTCAGTTAGGCTGTTATAATCTCCATTAAAAAAAAAAACACCTTTTTGCACTAGTGATGGACACCCCGAAATACAATTGTTCTAGTAATGGTCATACCTCAGAAAAATTCTAAAATTTTTATTTAACTATAAAGATTATGATCAAGATAACATAAATGTTCAACTTATTCTTAGCAAAACTGCTAGTAGGAAGGTATGAAACATACTAATCTCAAGAGGACTAAAGAAACAACAATGATAGGCATTTTACAATTTTCTTTTGGGAACTTTATTCATACAGTTGTCAATAGAAGGCATTGTGCTTCAATCTAGAAAAAAACTAGAACCTTTAAATCAACAAGGAATCTTATTATTTACATTTAAAGTCCAACCTGTCCATATGGTTGGGCCCTCTATCCATAAATGGTGATGGACACTAATTGCAAGTTACAAGTTAGATGAAGGCCAAACTATGGAAGAGTGGGTATCTAAATATTCTTTTTTTTCATATTTCTTTAATTTTATAATATTTTTACTGTAAATAATGTGATTTTATTTTATATTATTCATTTATTTACTAAATTTAAATTCTGAAAAAATCTTCAGCTTTTTTTATAATTGAATTATTTTATTATGTTATTTTTTAAATCTCAGATATCAATGGCAGTTTGCTCAGTACTGTATCAGCTGGCAACAAGACCCGAAGAACAGCAGAAAATGCACGAAGAACTAGTCCGAATAATGCCTGACCCGAATTGTCAGCTGACATCAGAAATGTTAGATAAAATGGTCTACCTGAAGTCCTTCATCAAGGAGGTTTTGAGGTAAAGTAATAATAAGAAAATTAATGAAATCTTGAAAATAATGAAAATTAATGTGATCTTCATGATCACTCTATAAATAGAATCCCGAGTATATCTGAAAGTAGACCGAGTTGACCGAACCTGCTGGATTGGGAAGGACCCAAAAAAAGGGGGTTTGTTTATTTCTGTAAATAAATGCTACTAATTTACAAGTGCAGCTTCACTTTGATAGGTGAGCAAAAGATCTCATGATCGCACTCACTTTTTTCTTCCTTGGCGCTACCGTCTGCGTGGGACCTCCTCCATGATTCTTCGCCACTCTGTTCGATCTGTAGAACCAAATTTTCACCATCTAACACCATCGTCTCAGATCCACCTCTGTCATCTATCCACTGTAGTGATGGCCTGCCTCTCCTTCTTCCTCTTCCAGGTTGTCCATACAGCACTTTCCTTGACAACCTTTCCTCCAACATCCTCTCCATATGGGGTGCCTTGATGAAGGTGATAATGCCTTCTTCGAAATGTGCGATTTTCTCCCAGTTGTACCTGGCTCTCCAATCTCCTCTCTCATATAAAGGCTCCTATGTCTTGCACCGGATCTTCCTTTCCCAGACTCCCAGCATTCTTTCATGTTCGTCTATTCTTCAAGTCATTTTCCATGTTTTGCTACCATAAGTTACCATAGGATCTATCATGGTCTTGAACACCACTTCCCATGATGACACTATAAATGGCATTTCTTAAAGGCTGAGTATTGACAACATATATACAAGTTAAACTTCCCTTTATTTAAGTTGTGAATACAACTTTCTCAAACTCTCAACTGGTCCTTTTCCATTAAATCAGTGCATTAGTTAGCTTTAATCACATTGCTTCACTTGCACAAAAATGATAAACAAATCATCCACGAGTCATTTTCAGTTGAGGTTCAATCATTTATCAGGAGGTTCAGTCACCTTCATTTAATTTCAGACACACTCTGCCATTCTGTTGGAGTTCTATTTACAATGCAACCATGAGGTCTCGTGCCCACACATCAGAGTGGAGCATCACTTGTTAAGTACCAAATAAATTCTTATTAGAAAAAAAGAAGATATGTGGAATATCTTTCATACAATAAGACAGTGAAACAAGTTGAATAGAACTATTTATTATATATATAATTCATTGTAATAAAATCATTAATCACAATATTTTGGTTTAAAAATAATAAATAAACTAATTTAAACAAGAAGATCAAGTTATCAATGTTCCATTAAGTTATAACATCTAATTAAAAAAAACTTGTAACAAAGCACTATAAAAAACAGAATTATATTTTATCCTAATATTGCTATTGAACTGAAATTCAAAAAGGAAATAGTTTTTTAAGTGTACTATCTTAATTTTTTTTATTAAAAAAATCGCCTTTATTTTTTTATAGTTGGATTAGTAAAGGATCAGAATAAAGAAAATTCAAGTTTCTCAAAAATGAAATAAATTATTAATTCTATCTAAAATGAGATGACCACGATTTCTTTTATGAGGCTGCCTAAGTCCTCTTCCCCCACCAAAATTGGATCCAAATCAGTGCTTCCTCTGACTCAATCCTTTTGTCTTTCTCCAATATGATCAACTAAATTAATTTAACTGACACTATCTAATTAATATTGTCTGCTTTAAATATAAAATATAAATTAAATATTCTTAATTTTTACAATCCATCTCAATTAATGTATTTTATTTATTTTAGAATGTATTCAACAGTAATTGGAATAGGAAGAGTTTTACAGGAAGACACAGTACTATGTGGATACAGAATACCGAGCGGTGTAAGTGCTTAAAATAAATTTAAAAAAAAATTCTATAATTAAAACTTAATGAACAATATGTAAAATGAATGATATATCTCTTGAATTATTAGTCCATAGTAGAGACCCCTTTTTATAAAATTATTAACATCCGACTGAAACTTCATAAATAGCTTCATCTCATCGTAAACTACAAATATTTTATTTACTAAAATTCTTGGAATTGGTGCATTTTCAATCTGAAGGTTGGAGAACTTCGTCTATTTAATTAGATACTAAAACCTAGTTCCTCTTGAATTGTAAGATAACTTCAGCACAAACTCGAGAAAAAATGTGGCCTTCAAAAATATTGAACCATTTGGCATGACCTACACCCCCAAATTTTCAAAATAACTAGGTTATATAGGCCAAATGGTCCTATATTTTTGTAGGCCATCTTTTTTATTAATTCTGTGATCAAATAAACTTACGATCTAAGTGGAAAGCAAATGGGTATTTACAAGTTTTTAGTACCTAATTAAATGGACAAAGTTTGCTGACCTCCAGATTGAAAGCGCCCTAATTCCTAGAATTATTGCAAATAAAATATTTGTAGGTTACAATGAGATGAAGCTATTTACGAAGTTTCAGCTGGATGTTAATAATTTGATAAAAAGGGTCTGTACCACGGACTATATAGTATAGTATATTTATGATTAAGATAAAGAGACATAACTTTGATTTTTTCATCATTAAAAACTTTATATTTTCAGGCTTTTTAAATTTTTAAATTTTTTTTTTAAATTAAATATTTCTTTGTTTTTATTACAGAAGAATCTAAAAACTAACACATATTTCTGTACATATCTTGAGATTTTAATCAAATAAAAATTCCATTCTTAGTTATTAATAATAATTTCTTTATATTGAGGATTAGTCAAGGTTGGCATAAAAAAAATAAATAATCTATAATGTTATATATAACCATCGCTGATCTCTACAAACAATTATCGTTTTAAATTACTCGTGACTTCTTATCATCAATTAAGAATCAATTTATTGTATAATCTGGTAATGTATGACAAAGCCCTTCAAAATGAAAACTACTTTCGTTATTGATAATTTAAAATTTGTTTTACTCCAGGTTCATACAATAAACCAAATGTATAATTTTATTCCTGACATTTATCAGTTGAGCAAGTTTGTTCACATTAAAAAGTTGAGAAAAAGTCAATTTATGAGTTATACATTCAATTAAAAAGTTTTGGATAAACATAGTAAGAAAATTTTATTTGATTTCCTTAGGAACATGTAATTTATGTTAAATAATGTTAGTTTTCTGAAATTATTATTTATATTTTTTTTGTCATTCTACGTTACCTTCTAAGACTTTATTTATTTGATATTATTTTTTCTAAAATTCTTCGCATTCCAACAATATATTATATGTATACCTTCTGACTGTTATTTCTGGAGATTCATTTTCAACCCGGATAAGCATTTTTCTTTTTTTTCTCCAGTTTCAAATTATCATATTCTTTCAAACTTAATATTTAACCATTGCTTATAATTACTGTGAATAAAAGAGAGTTAATTTTTTTAAATAAAGCATGATATATAAATAACCATGAAGGTACTTTAGAGGAAGACATATATGAACATTGGTCATTTAAGCCCTGTAAAGTGACATCAATGGGGATAAGACCTAAATTATACAATGATACACCGAGTTCAATAAAAATCGTTAAAGCCGTTTTTGAGGAAATTGTAAAAATGTGTTTCACTGTTGATATAAAGTGGCACTTCCACAATAAATAAAACTCAATGTACTATAGACATAATATTTATTTTAATCTTTGACTTTTGCCCATCTTTCCTCTAACTGAATAATGCCATGTTCATAGAATGTCTGGAGTTTATTGTTAAAAAACTGATCCAAGTTGTTTTTGATATCCTCTTCCTTTTGGTATTTTTTTTCATTCATGGAGTTCTCCAGAGACCGGAATAAGTGATAGGCACTTGGAGCTAAGTCTGAGCTAAGGCACTTGGTAAATAGGGAGGGTAGGGCAAAAGGTCCTATCCAAGGCTCAATAATTTATTGCGAGTGACCAATGAGGTGTGGGGCATACTAGTATTGTCTTGGTGGAACACAATATCCTTCTGATCATTCATAACTCTTCAGGATGTTTTCCAAATTCGATGTTACTATGTTACTATATCTGTTGGAATGATAAATTATTGCTCTTCAAAGCTGTATGAATGGTTTTTTGATATAATGCCTATATAAAGAATAAACTCCTTATAGGTTTTTATTTTTTATCTCCATTTGTAGCTTGTTTACAAAGGTTTTGTTGAAGTCATTTTGTGTAGTTTATGTGGCCCTAAATTCCTGCTAAAGTTCTTTTAGATAGCTAAAGTTGTATTTTATTTTTTAAAATAATACAACAAAATATGCCGATAATGAATGATATTTTCTTTCATATTCACAGTGCAATAACAAACACAATACTAAGCTAGTTTCAATAAGAGTTAACAGATATAGTTGTTGACATATTACACACAGGATAAACAATCCACCTTATGAATTAATTCATTAGATAACAAGTGTATCATAGTGACATAAAAATAAACAGAAAAACCGAAAGGACTTATTTGCCTACTCAATATTCTGTAATATTTGAATTTCATTGCATTCAACATTTCTCTAATAAAGTTGTTTTATTGATAGGCTAAAATTAATTATTTATTTATTATTGAAGGAAGCTAGTCAACTGTTCTACATATGGTTGAAATGTTGGCACAAATAAAAAATTTTTTTTTAAAAGACTGCGTCCTGAATATTTATCACCTATTAATTATCTATTTGTAAGTTTTATCATTTATTTTTTATTTCTTACAAGTGACGAGCACCCTTGAAGATTGGCTGGTGCCCCCAATGGGTGCCCCTCTAAGGCCGGCACTGCATGAATGTAGTATACAATACGTATATCTGGATCACTTAAATAGAGATTAAAAACAATTTTTAAAAATTAGAATTATGAATTCATATACTTATTTTTTATTTATTTTTTTTTTTTTGTATAAAAATATATGAATATAAAAAACTATATTCACTTATAGTAAATTCATGTTGCACATCAGGAACAAAAAAATTAAGCTTAAGAAATTTAACTTAAAATCCACTAAACTACTTTTGAATCCTATTTACAAATGGAACGCACATAATTATAAATACACACATATATATGTTGATTTCCTGTCAATATAGAAGATATTTCTTTTGATGCTAATGAGATATCGTTGTTTGATTGCAAAAAATCATTAAGTACATTTCACAAAATTAAATCTGATACAATCAAAATACTTTGATTAATTTTCTTTTTGTGAAATCAAAACAGTGAGCGCTTATGCAATTATTTTTGTGATATGAAAGAATTTGTGTCATTTTGATCTACTTACTGTGGTTTTGCAAATATACATAAGGTCAAAATTTATAAAAAACATTCTTAAATGTATGTAGTCCCAGAAATGTACTTATTGACTGCTTGCATAAGCCATTAAATAATATGTTTATGTAATATATGTAAATAGTAATTGAGTAGTTTATCTTTAAAAAAAAAAACAATAATTAAATATTTCAGTTTACATATATTTAAGCTAAGATGTATTTGTTTTTATAAATTAAGTTAAAACTGTATTTCTTCAGACACAACTAGTCTTTCCATCGATTGTGATGGGCAGTATAGAAGGATACGTTAGTGAGCCACACCGGTTTCTGCCGGAGCGTTGGATGAAATGTGATAGAGACAACCATTATATTCATCCTTTCGCTTCTTTACCTTATGGTTTTGGAGCAAGGATGTGTCTCGGAAGAAGATTTGCTGATTTAGAAATGCAAATATTATTAGCCAAGGTGACAAGTATATATATTTCTACTTATTTTTTCTTCATTCTATCTTTTTAAAATATTTTGCTTTATTTGAATTGTTTAGAATCAAAATCCGTTAAAGGTTGATTTTCTAAAGCTTACAGCGGATTAGAAAAAAAAAACACAATATATTTATTTTTGGGCTAATGAAATATTTAATCATGATTTATGTGGCATTTTCAATCAGAGCCTTGGAGTGGTTGTAAACTACAGAATTTCCAATATTAATAAATGCTTAGATAAGCAAAAAAAAAATTATTATTTTTTTATCAGACATACTAACTTTTGTTTTGAAAGTAAGCACAAATTCTAAGGAAGATTGATTAAAACCTAGAATTCAGAGGTTGAAATTCACTTTTGGTTCTTTCTTTAAACCTTTATTACTATTGTGCTTGATTAGTAATGAATTCTTGTCACTAGAGCCTTTAGTAAAGTAGCTTTTTTAACACCACATTTTTCAACTAAAATTATTTTTTATAAAAATTGAATGAATTGGGTTTTGATCCTTAGCTAATTATTTCATCATGATTACTTATGTTTTAGATTTTTAATATAAACTTATGAGATGTATTCTAAAAGTATCAATATTTTTTTTTTTCATTCAAAATACAACAACAAAAAGTAATATAATCAAAAAACAATTACTCATTTTCTTATGTATTTTTTCTTATTATCAATCAAATACAGTTAACATTTCATCTCTTTTTCAGCTTATTCGAACTTATAGGATTGAATATTTTCATGAACCTTTGGAATACAAAGTGACATTTATGTATGCGCCTGACGGAAATTTAAAATTAAAGATGTCCAAGAGAAAGGAGTAACAGTATTCAATAATGGAACATGCTAAAGATATACATTACTGGAATTTGACATGGATCAGATTGAAGAAAAAAATCAGTTTTTGAGGAAAACTGACAAATTTGAAAACAAAGTTTTAAACTTCGTCAATAACTTTTACTTTGTTTAACAGTTGTATAATTATTTTTCATGAGATACAGCATTGATAAAGTCATGGATATTTTAAATTTAATACTAAAATAAATAATTTGTTATTTTAAGACTTTTAAAACTTTAAAAGTTTGGAATAAAGATATTTGTTAGTTACTTCTCCACCATTTTCAAAGCTATTTCATGATAAACAGCATATGTTAAATATTTTTATCATTTTTCTTGTGAATATTAACATTTTGCCAAGAAAACGAAGTTAATAAGTTTTGGAAATTGGATCAATAAACACAAAAAAATGTTTGTCTTCATTAAACATTTAAACTTCAAAATAGTTGAGTGGCTTCGTATCAAAGACAGATAGATATCTTTGTTATTTTTAAAAAGTCAAGAAAAAGCCATTTTTTGTAACATAGTTTTTATTTATGATTTAACTTGTGCATTGTTAAATAAAATCATTAGAAACAGTTTGAGTTGAACCATAAAACAAAAATTTATTTTTTCTACATTATCTGAAAATGCCAAATGTGTATGTTTGATATGATGCCGCTCAATTGTTTATTAATTAAATAATTTTAGTGTTATCATTAAATAATTACCAATAATTATATAAAATAATTACAGGTACATTATGTGATATGATTTTTATGTTGTTTTTTAAATAAAATGTTTTTTGCATTACTTTTATTTGTGAATTCATACCTGTCAGAGGAAAGAAATTACTAAATGTGCTGAAGTTCGTTGAAAACTAATCAAACACCTTTTCAACATCAATAAGAAGAAAGATAATATTCAAATCAAATACAACTATAAATTATTCAATGACAATTATTAACATGTAATAAATAACAGATTTACCTGAATTATCTTAAACCCAGTGTTGCCACTCCTTGAAAAGGCATACAACTAATGTAAGCTAAATAATGTTGTTTTTTAAGTAAAATTAGAATAGACAATGCCTATTAGCTCATAATGTATTTTAAAACCTTTTGTTATTATTTTTTAATGTTAATGGGTCAAGTATGAAAATAAGTTTCATTTAAGTTACAAAACAAGTTTAACTAAACTTTTATAAAAGTACAATAGCGGATCCAGGATTTAATTTTGGGGGGGGGGCTTCAGCCCGAAACCTTTTTTTTCCATAAAAATAACGATAATTACTTTGGAAAAACAGAAAGAAACTAACTACCTATATGAAATGGTGTTTAGTTATTCCTTAAGTACTTTTAAATGTAATTACACGAACAATAATACTTTAAGAGGTATTTTTTAACTTTTTTTCCCCATAAAACATGGTTATATTTTTCCATTTTGGGGGGGGGGGCTTCAGCCCGAAAGCCTCCCCCTCCCCCCCCCCGTAGATCCGCCCGTGTAAAAGTATATATATTTTTAGAAACTATCAGAAAACATGCTATGAACACTAAATAATACAAAATAAAATTTTTAATGAATTAAATCTAAGTATCACTTCGAATTCAATGGAAAACATCCAGTCAACAATTTACATTTGTACAAGAATACATTTTATTGTTGATCACATGAAAGGTAAATTGGCTCAACAAAGATTTTAAAAAACAAGTCCAGTATTAAAGAAGATATCGCAAACAATTTTTTTAATTGGATTTTACATTCAAAATAGTTAAATATTTTGTGGTCATACCAAACATTTTATAACTGTTAGGAAATAATAAAGCATTAAGCTTTTTTAAAGAGTAATTTAAATAAATATAAGATACAGTGATGGAAAAAAGTATTTTCACATCATGTTTTTATGAATAAATGAGTCCAAGGAACCAAAAAACTTCGTTTCCTCTGCAAAAATGAAAAGTACATTTGTTAAAAACTGAGAAAAACCTTTTGGAAAAAAATGACAACACTCCATAATGAAACAAAAAAATTAAAGCAATAAAATCGCTTGGAAAAAAGTATTTGCACACTATGACTCACAAGCTCTGTTTACTTTGGTATTAATCCTCCTGTGTCCTTAGGTCATAGGTTTGTTTACTAATTTATCTCTAATCGTTTATTAACCAGTATTCTCTAGTCTTTCAATCAGTTTCCTTTAGTCGATAGACAATTATCATGCCAAAGACAAGTGAACTTTTTGCCGCAACTCGTGAAAAAATTGTTTTACTGAGGAGTCAGCAAAAAACATATCCAAATTGCCGATTTCTTAGGCTTGAATTTTTCTACAGTGAGATATGTCATAAAAAGGTATGAAGAACGTGGTTCAACTGAAAACAGTGAGCGTAAAGGGCGTCCAAAAAAGTTAACTCCCAGGCTGAAGAGGAAAATCAGAAAAGAAGCTCTTAAAAATCCTCTGATAAGTTCTCGGGAGCTGGCTACCACAGTCCAATCAACGTCTCGAGTTCAGATTACTAGCAGAACAATTAGATATGCCCTGAATTCGGAAGGGCTCCATGGTAGAGTTCCAAGAAAGAAGCCATAGATCAGTGAAACGAATCGCAAAAATCGCCTTGCTTTTGCTAGGGAGTACGTACAGAAACCCTTAAGCTTTTGGGAAAATGTCACCTCTTCTGACGAAAGCAAATTTAATTTGTTTGGTTCAGATGGACGAAGGACGATATGGCGACATCGTAATGAAGCCCTAAAGAAGCAAAATGTTTTAACAACTGTAAGGCATGGTGGAGGGCAGGTTTAGGGGTGTGTTTTCTACCATGGCGTGGGAAATCTTGTGAGCATCGAAGTTATTTTAAATTCGGAAGGCTATGTGAACATTTTGCGACGTTATTTGCGTGTTAGTGTCGAAAAAATGGGAATCCAGGATCAGTACTATTTCCAGCAGGACAACGATCCAAAACTGCGAGGAGAACAAAGGAGTGGTTAATATTTAATGTTCCAAGACAGCTCCACACTCCTCCTCAGTCACCAGATATAAATATCATTGAAAATTTATGGCATACCTTTGACCAAAATGTAAGAAAACACCATATCACTAGTGGACATCACCTTAAACAACTTCTTGTTCAAGAATGGGAATAAACGTAGATTTAATTTAAAACCTAGTGCATTCAATGCCCACTCGTCTACAAGCAATTATTGACGCAAATGTCTTATTTACAAAATATTAAAACTTAAAATAAACTTGTAAATGTGGAAGTATGCAAATACTTTTTTCCAAGCACTTTTATTGTTTTATTTTGTTTGATTATGAAGTGTTTTTATTTTTTTGTAAAAAGGTTTTTTTCAGTTTTTAGTAAATTTACTTTTCATTTTTGCTAAGGAAAGCGAAGTTTTTTGTTTTCTTGAACTGCTTTATTCATAAAAACGTGTTGTGCAAATACTTTTTTCCATCACTGTATATACATTCTAACTAAATTAGACCAGTATGGGCAGTAAAACACCAATGACATAATTATTCGATAAAAAATCATACCAATCAAAGAAAAAACAATAACATTCAATAAAAAATGTTTTATTTACATAAATATATACAAATTAATAAATAAATATATTTTAAAAAATCCTATAGTTTTTAACAGCGCATCTGCATCATAACTTGTTCCCTGTAAAAATATATTTGCATTGATTAGATTTTAATTTGTTTGCTATATAAAACGATTTATTAAGTTTAAAAGATGATAAGGTTCTTACCTCTTATAATTGCAGCAAGATATATTGCAGCAATGAAACTGTATCGGACAACAAGTCGTCGTTGTACAGCGGGCCAGTTGAAAATTGTCCCACACAGCTGTAATTTATAAGTAAAAATTATAACCTATGAGACCAATAGGTATAATAAACCTTCTGAGAGGTTTTTACAAACAGTACAAATAAAATAATTGATCGTTATGTTCTAATTGCCTTTTTTTTTTTCTTTTTTTGGAGAGAGGCTTCCTCACTACCGAAGGTAGGGAAGCATTGTGATCCTGCGAGAGGTTAAAAAAAATTTGTGTTCAGAATCGAAAATTTCCATTAGCATTTTACGTTTCAGACATCGTGGATCATGGATAGGAATTTGGTTCCTATAGTTTGAAAACTGTGCCTTCAATTTGACCCAAACTTGGAGGAAATTTGGAGAATAGTTTAGAAATTGCCTAATATGAATTTCATTGAATTCTATCTAATAATTAAAATTAATATAAATAATTGTTAACAATATGATGACAGTGAAATGTGAAAGGCACTGATCATATGGAGTGGGAGTTAGGTTATAACAATATTTTTACGGGGTTATAAAATGAGTTAATTTATACTGTATTGTTTCGTCGATTCCAAACGTTACTTAGACTTCGTGTAATTTTCAATACATTTAAATTAATTTCTACTTTAAGTTTGTAAAAAAAAAAATTTCATTTGTGGCTGTGTTTATTTCTATTGAAGTTCAACCAGGTCGTCGTATATCGAGTTTATGTATGATTTTTACATTCCAGCTTAAATAGTTTTGTTCTGAATGAAGAGAAGTATTGTCTTGTTAAAAAGTAAGTATCATCAGTAATTTGATTAAATTAAAACTTTTGAAACACCTTATCACAATATCGAAAAAAAGTGTATACTTTTTGAGTTATTCCAAATCAAATTTTACCATCCCTCTTAACTATTTTTTCATCTTCTTTTCGTTGAAGTATGTTATATAGATAAATTTAAAGGGCGCCAAGAAGAAGACTTTAATCAAATTTCATTGAAATTGGTACATTTGTTTAGGCGCTACAGTCCACGGGCGGATCTACGGGGGAGGGGGGGACTTTCGGGCTGAAGCCCCCCCAAAATGGTAAAGCATAACCATGTTTTATAGAAATTGTTTTTTTAAAATACCTCTTAAAGTATTATTGTTCGTGTAATTACAATTAAAAGGACTTAATGAATCACTTAAACACCATTTCATATAGGTAGTTAGTTTCTTTCTGTTTTTCCAAAGTAATTATCGTAATTTTTATGAAAAAAAAAGCTTCCGGGCTGAAGCCCCCCCCCAAAATTAAATCCTGGATCCGCTAGTGCTACAGTCTATAACAACACATGTTTTACGGGCGCATTTTGAAAGTAAAAGACGAATAGTAATGTCGATGAAGGAGGATCATCCTCGGGTGACCTCTGATTTTGAATTCAAATGTGAAAAAAATCGGTCCAGTAGTTTCGGAGAAAAACGGAAAAAAAATTTGTATTCTTTTTCCAATTCTATTGAGAGGGGATTTGCTTATTGAATTTTTTGTTCGATTGCAATGTTTCATTATTGAAAATAATAATAATAATAATAAGGCTTAGCGAATCCGAAGGTTCGATGCCGACACCACCAATCGCTTGTTATACACCTCCCTCCACCGTTCGCCGTCCAAACCCAGTCCCTTCAGATCGGCTTTAATGCAATCTTCCCACCTTCGCTTCGGTCTACCCCTCGGACGCTTACCATTCGGCACAGCAAATATTAACCTTTTAGGAATTCTCTCGTTACTAAGCCCAACAACTTTACAAGCCCATTTGATTCGCCGCGATGAAATTACCTCAATTATATTAACCGGATACAGCTCACGCAATTCGGCGTTGTGTAACCGTCTGAACTCTCCGGTTAACTCATCCTTCTCGGTCTGAATATTCTACGCAATACTTTATTTTCAAAAACCTTAAGACGGTGCTCATCCCTTAATGTAAGCGGCCAAGTTTCGCATCCATAAAGAACTGTAGGCAAGATAATTGTTTTATAGATTCTAATTTTTAAGTTTCGGGACAAGAGGCGGGAACTAAGTAATTTTGTCACAGAAAAATAACAAGCATTCTCCGCCTTCAGTCTAACCTTAATCTCTTCTTCAATTTCGTTTTTTCTAGTTATCGTAGAACCTAGATACCTAAATTTATCTACCTGTTGACAAAAAAGTTGACAAAAAGTCGTGGATCTCATTATTGAAAATAATAAACCAAAATATCTATCATTTGAATAAAGTATTATTTAATTGTTAGTCTAAAATCGCTTACTTCTTAGCTTACTGGCAGTTCTGAATTGATTATCCCTTGGAGAAGCCATCAGCTGGTTCAGTGGAACCGTCATCATCATCAACACGATCAGGTACATTCTGGTTGACTGCTTCGTTCTTCGAATGTCTTTATATTTATAACCAGTTACTAGTTTGTTTATAACTGATTCTAAACCCGTATATATCCGTTTTATTGCCCTATTTGACATCCAAGGAGGAGCTTTCAGTCGAATTAACGCTTCCATTCTTTATCTCCATGCATCATTGTTATCGTGTGACGTTAATTCCTTAAAATGTGAATCTCTGCAATCCCAATAATTCGTTTTATTACAGATAGTTAAATATCAATTATTTATTATTCATATTATCGTCATCATCGATAATTAGGAGTTGGGGGATAAAAACAAGAAAAACAAAAAACTAAAATCATTTTTTTTTTCTGACTTTGTTTATAAAACAATAAGTGATTTCAACGTTAAAACTTAATGAAAAACAGATTATAATATTTCAACAACACATATTAGGATAAAAGTACTACTACATCCTTTTCGAAAAATGGGAATAATAAAGTTTCCTGGACATCTATTTCATATATTTTTTTGTTTTTATATTTCTTTTTTGTATATTTGTCTGATTTGTTTAATATTGTCAGAATTCGCAAGTAAAATAATGAGAGGCAAATTAGGAAGGCACTCCTGATCTGAAGAAAACGTTAAAAGCATTTTTTTGAATATTCATAACATTTATGTTAAAAAAATGATTCTACCAGTCGGATCATACTACCTGAAAATATGGCGGCTGTTTTAAAGAATACTAAGCCACTAGTAACTTGAGGATTAAAGACGAGAAATTTATTGCGAAAATATAGGAAAAGTTTTTATCTTGAATATATGCTGTCACCGAGAAAATACTCCGCACGATAATCGGAGCGATCTGAGATCAGAGTACTAGCACATGGAGAAGAAAAACCAATAAAGAACTGTTTACAGAAACTGATCAATCAATATCCCATGATATGAAGGCACGGAGGTTAAGATGGGCGGGACATGTAGCTCGTAGCAATTCATCTAGAAGCCTCTACGTAAAAATGAATGCCTCAATAGCAGGCAAAGTACCACGTGGAAGTTCAAAAAGCAGACGGATAAAAAGAATCAACAAAGTTGCGTGCAGATAATGGAAAGAAATAACCGGCAAGTAAAGATGGAGCAGGCTTATTCAGTTGACAAAAGATCTACATGGTTTGTAATGCAAACAGAAAAAAAAAATGCTGTCACGAGACAGTATAAACGGATTAACGTGAAAAAAAATATATTAACGCCACTAAGGGCTAACTTTTTAAAAAAGTCAGTTTTTTCGGACCTTTTTTTCACCTATAGTTTCTAGACGGTGCATTGAAGCAAAAAAAAAAAAAAAAAATATGAAGAAGTAAGGTTTAACAGAGAACGAAAACATTTGAAAGCGAACTAACGGTGTGGTGTGTCCATGAAAAACCTCTCTTCAGAGTATATAATTAAATTGTTTAAAAAGTTGAGTGGGAATATACTGTCAAAAAGAAAGGAACCCACTGGACACTAAGCCAAAGGCTGGAGGACCAAGAGTTTGCTGATGATGTCTTCATGGCTCAGAGGTTCTCGAACTAATGGCTATACTCCAAAAACCCCGGGAGGAAGCAAGAGATGATGGCCTTTTAATAAACATACAGAAGAAGAAGGAGGTGCGGTTAAACCCGAGTGTCGAGAACAATCTTCGGATTAAAACTATTGAATCAGTTAAAGTCTTCTCTTATCTTCGTCACTTCCTCTTAGAGAAAAGAGGAACCGACGAAGATGTCATTGAATGCACCCGGAAAGTCAATATTGTTTTCATCTGTCTTTGAAGAAACCGGAGAAGAATCAGGGAGTACGAAACTGCATACAACCAATGTAAAGTCAGAACTTCTGTATGGAAGGTCACAAGAAGCTGCAGATATCTATCAATACCTTCGTCGCATCGTCAACACCACCTGACGAAAACGTCTCGAGAGCTTTAGTCTCGAGAGCCGGGCAGATACTAATTGAGCATGATATAGAAGGAAGAGGAACTAGATAAGCTTTTTTTTGTTCTATATCTCCTTCCTCGCCTTTTAGGCTGTAAGTAGGTTTTCATGAGCCAGGGTTGAAGGCGGGAGAAATAAAGGGCCACTTTATCTCGCCGTAACTAGATTAGAAGAGCCTGGAGTGGTTGAAGAGTTGGAACTCCCAAGGAGCTGGCCGATAAGTATGATCTCCCTTCATCTAGAAGAGATCCGTGCAGAATTAGATGAAGCAGACAGGAAAGACTTGGAGTGAGATGAAGGCTCTGCCAAGAGACAGGAATGCATGGAGGTCGTTCGTTGATGCACTTTGCTCCACAGGGAGCTACTGAGGTACAGAAAGAATACTGACAGAAGCAGGACGTCTTGTCAGGTCATCTATAGTAGTTGTGGTAAACTGAATTCCTCCACTTTCTTGTTTGTGTTTGGTAAAATATAGTTGTATTTAGCACTAGCGGATCCAGGATTTAATTTTGTGGGAGGCTTCAACGTGAAAGATTTTTTTTCATCTACATATAACAATAATTAATTAGAAAAAAAGAAAAGAAATTAACTACCTACATGAAATGGTGTTTAAGTGGTTCTTGAAGTCCTATTAAATGTAATTACACGAACAAGAATACTTTAAGAGATAGTTTTTCATATTTTTTTCTGTAAAACATGGTTATATTTTACCATTTTGGGGGGGAGGGCTTCAGCCCGAAAGCCTCCCCTCCTCGTAGATCCTCCTGTGGTATTTAGTAAGGTAGTTTGGATGTGTTTTTTAAAAAAAAATACATAAAATAAAAACCAAGGTACATGCTTTAGACAATGCGATGGAAGTTAAAACATCAAAAAGACGTGATTAATAATATGAGATGTTATAAATAATGTCTTATATAAAGAGGATGAAATACTGAACAATGTCCTTGATTAAAGTATGCAGGTCCGATCTTTAGTTTCTGAGACATTTTAATCCATATCTTCAATAAAATTCATTATAATTTGGTTTTCAAAACTATTTTTTCCCTTTCGCCTCTCTAACACGGCGTTTCGTTAAGATACAATTTTTAAAAACAGCCAATTACAGGGAAGATGAAATGCCGAAAAATTTCCTTGCTTGCAGAATGCAGGTCCGATTTTTAGTTTTTAAAATATTTTAATCCGTATCTTCAATAAAACTCTTTATAATTTAGTTTTCAAAACTATTTATTCCTTTTTCTCATCTCTCACACGGCGTTGTGTTAAGATTAAAATTTTAATAATAGCACATTATAAAGAGGATGAAATGCTGAACAATTTCCTTGCTTGCAGAATGCAGGTCCGATTTTTAGTTTTTAAAATATTTTAATCCATATCTTCAATAAAACTCTTTATAATTTAGTTTTCAAAACTATTTATTCCTTTTTCTCCTCTCTCAAACGGTGCTGTGTTAAGATTAAAATTTTAATAATAGCCAATTACAGAGAAGATGAAATGCTGAACAATTTCCTTGCTTGCAGAATGCAGGTCCGATTTTTAGTTTTTAAAATATTTTAATCCATATCTTCAATAAAACTCTTTATAATTTAGTTTTCAAAACTATTTATTCCTTTTTCTCCTCTCCCACACGGTGTTGTGTTAAGATTAAAATTTTAATAATAGCCAATTACAGAGAAGATGAAATGCTGAACAATTTCCTTGCTTGCAGAATGCAGGTCCGATTTCTAGTTTTTAAAATATTTTAATCCATATCTTCAATAAAACTCTTTATAATTTAGTTTTCAAAACTATTTATTCCTTTTTCTCCTCTCTCACACGATGTTGTGTTAAGATTAAAATTTTAATAATAGCACATTACAAAGAGGATGAAATGCCGAACAATTTCCTTGCTTGCAGAATGCAGGTCCGATCTTTAGTTTTTGAAATATTTTAATCCATATCTTCAATAAAACTCTTTATAATTTAGTTTTCAAAACTATTTTTTTCTTTTTCGCCTCTCTCACACGGTGTTGTGTTAAGATTAAAATTTTAAAAACAGCCAATTACAGAGAAGATGAAATGCTGAACAATTTCCTTGCTTGCAGAATCCGGGTCCGATTTTTGTTTTTGAGATATTTTTTTCATATCTTCAATAAAACTCGTTATCATTTGGTTTTTAAAACTATTTTTTTTCTTTTTCGCCTCTCTCACACGGTGTTGTGTTAAGATTAAAATTTTAATAATAGCCAATTACAGAGAAGAGGAAATGCTGAACAATTTCCTTGCTTGCAGAATGCAGGTCCGATTTTTAGTTTTTGAAATATTTTAATCCGTATCTTCAATAAAACTCATTATAATTTGGTTTTAAAACTATTTATTCCTTTTTCTCCTCTCTCACACGGTGTTGTGTTAAGATTAAAATTTTAATAATAGCACATTACAAAGAGGATGAAATGCTGAACATTTCCCTTGCTTACACTAAGCAGGTCCGGATTTTTGTTTATGAGATATTTTTATTCATATCTTCAATAAAACTCGTTATCATTTGGTTTTCAAAAATATTTTTTTCTTTTTCGCCTTACTAACACGGCGCTGCGTTTAGATATAATTTCGAATAATAGCTCATTACAAATAGGATGAAATTCTGAACAATTTCCTTGCTAAAAGTATGCAGATCCGCTTATTAGTTTCTGAGATATTTTAATTCATATCTTATATATTTTTTTAATCTTCAAATTTGATTAATCTGACATTTTTTTTGCAATGGGCAAATATTAATACTTAGTTGTTGCTATTATAAACCTCCCAGTGGTATAATAAAAGGCCTCTGGTCACAGATGCAAAGAACGCATACAGCGTGCATAGCCTTAAAATGCCGTTGGGCAATAAAAGGAAATTAAAAAAATATCTATATATAATTCTTTACATTCATATATTGTATTCTGTAATAAAGAAATTCTTATTCTTTTGAAGATTTTCTTAGGAAAGACACTTTATTAAATATCTGTAGAAAAAATGTTTTTTTAGTCTCAAAAATTAAAAAAATATATTTTAAATTTATCCAAATTTTTGCCTCTTCAGGAAAAAAAATTAAAGACCATATCTTTCCTCCTAACTGACCGATTTTAACGATTTTTTTTTTTTTTTTTTGGTTTTTTAGAATATTCCGTAAACTTTTATAAAATCATAGATAGATAAATAGATAAATTTAAAGGGTATCGAGAAAATGACTTTAGCGGTTTCATTGAAATCGGTACATTCGTTTCGGCGCTACAGTCTATAGCAACGCAGGTTTTTCTGCATTTTTATTTATTTTTTTCCTTTATTAATTTATCAAATTCTTTCAAAAGTTATATTTAGCATTTTATCGTAACTCTGAATAATGCGAAATAATTAACTTTTTAAAATAAACCATATTAAAATTACTTTAGAGGAAGACGTATATGAACATTGGGAATTTAAGCTCTGTAAAGTGACATCAATGGGGATAAGACCTAATTGATATTAAAGACCTCTTAATTATACAATGATCCACCGAGTTCAATAAAAATTGTTAGAGCCGTTTTTGAGAAAATTGTGAAAAAGTGGCACTTCCGGTAAGCCGATTTTAAGGAAAAAGTTGCTGTCACATCTAAGGCATGTACCTATCTTAAATACGTGATATTTGAGTTCTACCAATGGGTAGTTTCTCTTCATATTGTACATGTCATGTTATCAATTTCACATTTACTTATTGTATTTTATATGTAATATAGTTGTAAATTCCATTAAAATAATAAAAAAAAATACCTGATATCAGTTTCATAGGACTTTTCGTTTTTGAGCTAGACTGCTAACATACAAACACACCGACCATTTTTCGGGACTCAGTCATTTCGACTCAGGGTACCTCAAAACTTGTAAATCCGTTGAAAACTCAGATTCAAAACTTTTCTCGATCGCAATACTTACACTTACTATATATTACATATATACGTAAGTGAAAGTAAAAAAAACAAAACATATATCTATATGGCGTTATAGTATATGTTCTCCCATAATCGTTTACTATGAGTTCTGAAACAGAAATTTGATAACCCATTCCATCTCCGATAACATCCGATGCAGTGTAAAAGCCTTAGGCTATTTTTTTGCGAAAAAAAAATACGAGTAACAAATAAGTGTCGCCAGGGTATTTTCATCGAATCACGTTAATCCCCCGTGAATGGTTTTTTAATCATGTGATTTTTACCGGATAATTCTGGTTTTATAATTCTCGATAATGACAGAATTAATCACATTATCCTTGCAAAAAGTGAACACTTACCAGTCATCAACGTCAAGATTTAAAGGAGATTTATTGAATTAACTTTTCATTGTTTTGAGACATATTTAAGGATATTTTTATTTGAATATTTAATCAAAGATAATCATCGGAGGGAAGTACCCTATTTATTGTTTTTGAAAGTATCGTTAATATCAGACAAATAATTTTATTAAAAAAATAAAATCTTCAAAATATCTTAACGTTTTATAAAATTGAATAAGTAATTTACATAAGGGATTGAGTAATTACATAAAATAAAGATAGATAAATAACACTGCCCTACAAAAAAATCTTCGATGAAAACGGTTTCTCTTGACTAATTTTGGTGTGAAAAACTCGAATTTTCAGTCAGAATCCTTATGTTAGCTATCATTAAAAAAATTATTATTAAAAAACAAAAAATTAAGTTATCGGAAGTTGCACGACCATTTTGTAAACAACAAATAAAAATGCTTTGTTATTTGTGAAATACTTTTACAACCCACAAAACATTTTTTTTTATTATTAAAATTTACAACTGCATTAAAAGATAAATACAACAAGTAAATGTGATACAAGTATTATGATAAATACAACATGAAGAGAAACTACCCATTGGTAGTACCCTAATTATATTTCTATATTAGAGGGTCCCGAGGTATTTATATTCAGACACCTCGGAGGGTTATCAGGAATAGAAGTGGAACCAAGGTTGGAAACAAGAGGGTTCGGATGGTACAGAAGTTTATGGAAGGATAGATATCTGGATTGAGCTAAATCGGAAACATATAGTACGTTAAGGTCGTTATGAATGATTTTATTTGTGATAAAGTATGGAGCATTGAGGATTTTACGAAGGATTTTGTGTTTATAAGAACTACGTACGAGAGAATTCTGATGGTTTGGTAAAATCCCAAAGCTCAATTTAAGTCCAAATAGACCTGATTATAGTGATATATATGAGTCTTTTGTAGTTAGAAGTTTAGAGCGTTTGTCTAGTATGTGCTGCAGTAATCGAAAACGTTGGGCGGTTTCTAGTCGTTTCAGTCTGGTATGAGGATTCCAAGTTAGTCGTTTGTCCAGGTGGAGTCCTAGGTAACGGATTTGTTCATCTGAGATAAGTGGGGAATTATTAAAGGATTCTGTAGGACAGGAGGTCATAGGTTTGCTACGAAGAGTAAAGGTAATTAGATGGGATTTATTCGAATTTATTTTAATCCTCCAGTTTTGGCACCATTTTTTAACACTTGTTATGTATGATTAGAGAGTTTGGGATTGGTCGTTATTAATTGATAGGACACACGTGTCATCGGCATATGTGTTGATGACAGTGTTGAAATGAGTTAGGATATCAGATGTGTAAACTGTGTAAAGGATAGGACTTAGGATACTACCTTGAGGAACACCAGGAAACTGAGAAAAAAGAAATGAATAAGCATTTTATGATTTACTTTGAAGTATCTGTCCGTAAGATAGGAACGGATAATGAGGAAGTATGTAAGTGCAAGGACAGGGCTGTTGTACAGTTTATTTAGAACATTTCTTCTTTGCTTGACGATTACACTGATGTTCTGGCAATTCCTCATAACGTTCTAAGAGTAGTCAGCGAGCATTGAAGTATCCTACCGAACTTGACATCTTCGTTCCATCGATTATATATCTCGGTGAAATTGCTTACCATGTTCGTCACTTTCAGATCCACAACTTTTGAGAAAGAAGTCCAAATGAGAGTGAAGAAAGTGAATCTTGAGTGACATGTTACAACCGAGATCTCTAAACTTCTCAAGAAGGGTTTAATTCCTGTCTTTTGTTACCCAAGAGGCTATTTACTGAAGCTGTAAATGCTTACCACGGTGATCTTAAACCCAAAAGTTCAACTTTCTCTTTGAGCAGATCCAGTTCTCGAATCAAGTCACTGAGTTCAGCTTGAGTTAGGAAGTGGGGTTTTCGTTCTTCTTGTTCGAAAGAAAAATCAGAATCATTTGATGGAGTTCCTCCTGGGAGATTTTCTCTTCGTAATCCTCGTCCTCATTCAAGTCATAGTGTTCAGGAAGCCTTGGAACAGGCAATTCGTCCCCGTGTGGTATTGACCATATAGCAGAAGAAATGCCAGGATACTTCATTTCAGATTTATTTTTTCAAGACATTCCATGATGAAGAGGAGTGGTTTCATGCAAGAGTAGCCGTTGTCAGTGTGATTAGTAGGATCCTTTCAAACCACGGAAACAGCAAAACGCATTGAACGACTTTTCTTGTTCAACCATTCTCTTAAGGTTACGCTTCATGTGATCCTGCAGATGTGTGGGGTCTACAGTTTATCTTGGTCACCAACCTTCACCCAAAAATACATGTGGTATGCTGTCTTGATCATCTGGGTGATAGGACGCTTTTGACTTGAAAAGGTCAATTCTCCACAAATGTAACAAAAGTTGTCAGAAGCATTCACACACTTTCTGGGCATTGTAACTTCATCAAAACTACTCAGGAAAAAGCTCAAAATGCAAAGCGCCTTCGAAGTTTCACCCCTAAATGTTCGAACAGAAAGCATAGACGTATAACTCCAAATAAGTGCGGCAGTACTTCTCTTCAATTAATGTCTCAAAAGAACGTAAATCACAATTTTCTTGATATTACACGTGCATTACAAGATGTAATTGACCTCATAAAGCCAACTAAAGTCACAACACATTACAGCATTACTCAAAGTAAACATCGACATAAATAGTAGGGATAAAAACATTCTTATAGGATTAATTAGGAGAGTTATAATTGAGGATTGTGTTAATACACAAAGACTTTTGTAACAACCTGGTATTTAGCTAAGATCTTAGAATACAGTGTGGCTGAGAGGTGTGTTGGAGCCTGAGTCCTTTGTATTGTGACGTGTACCACTGCCAACACGATTATTTAACCCTCTCTCATCTCTCTACTTTATGAATATGCATTCATTTTATTTTTCTGTTGGCATTACAGATCTCGTAGATATTTTGCCACCTTAACCAGCCTTCTCCATCTCTGACTATCTTGAGCTATTTGTTTCCGGTTTCTTGCATGCTACATTTTTTTTAATTCGATCTATCCATTTGGTTATTGGCCTTTCACGTAGTCTTTTTGATATTATTGAGGCATTCCAGTGTTGCCGTTTGTACGAGGATCCTCGTATTTGTACGAGGTTATGACGTAATGTACGAGGTACGAGGCTGATCTATCCTAATAAGTTTTGCTGACGTATGCAATGCAAGGTTATATTTTTATGAATGAAGTTTAGAATTGTTTTACGGTTATTTTGAATGTATTATTATTTATATTGATATGAAATACTGACTTCTGTTGCTTTCTAGACAAATAAATTGTAATTATACCTTCTTTAATTAGAGTATGATTATTATTTCCTTCATAAAACCATGATTGTATATATATGTTTTTTTTTTAATTTTCTAGAAAAAAATTTTTTTAGGTTTTATTCAGTATAAAATAAAATATAAGAAACCATATCCATTATTTCCTTCATAAAACTTTTTTTATAAATATATATTTTTTAAAATGTGTTGTAATAGAAAATTAAACAGAAATTTTTACCGTCAATTTTATAGAGCATAAAATAAAATACGAGAAAGTATATCCATTATTTCCTTCGTAATTATTATTTCCTTCATAAAACTGCAATTGTAAATATATTCTAGATAAATTAAATTTTTTTTAAAATTATTAGTGTAATATAAAAAAAAATTATTTTCGATTTTTAATCGAGTAAAGTAATTAATTCAAAAATTAACTAGTATTTCTAGTATTCATAATGAACCCATCTTAAATAATGAAAAAAAAAGTATTTTTTCATTGGTCCACATTTATTTTGTGCGAGACCTAATTGTAAGCTAAATAATGAAATAATAACAATCTATTATTTTTTTATATTATAATGGATATCTCTAAAACCATTAGTGCCCCAATAATTAATTTTTATTGGTCTTCCAGAACCACTAACATCCTTTCATAAAAGTAGTTGTTTTGTTTTTAGAAAAAAGAAAACAAATTAGTGTTTTTCCCGAATTAAATCTTGGATATACTAAAGAATACTTATGAAGAGTACTTTAAGAAGTTTATTTAGCTATTTTAATTTTTATATAACGTTTTTAGTAGTTTATAAAAATATATAAACTTTTTTATATATTTTATTAAGCTAATTTTACTTCTTGACCCATTAACTTAAAAAAAAGTAATGTAAAAAGGCTTTAAAATATATGAATGGAGGCAAAAATAAAAATTCTGATCTAATTTTACTATAAAAAAAACAATAACACTGGCATTATAACAGTGGAAGTTATGAATGAGCAAGCGTACGAGGATGTACGAGACTTGAGTACGAGGTTTTGTCACAGAGCGCGCGGTAACACTGAGGCATTCATCGTTGTGTAGAGGCTTTCTGATTGATTGCTTCGAGCATTACGTTAACCTTCTTCCTACCATGAATAGTTCTTTATTCGTCTTTCTCCTTCGTGTGTTAATATTTTCATTCGAGATCCCTCCATTTATCGTACATTTATAAAAAAACATTTAAACTAAATCACAGAGTGAGAGAGAAAACAGAAAGATGTTTCTTGAGTGATTGTTTTGAAACTGCAAATAATATTCTAACCTAAAAGTTATATCTTATAGTACGTTATTCAAATGTTTTCTTATTCATTTTTGCTAGGATATGCTATGTAGAACATTAATACGATATTTAAAAAAATAATCAACATTTGCAAATGAAACCAACTAAATATATC